CGACTATGTTAATATATGATGTCATACGACATTTGATATTTCTAAATCTTAAACTAACGCTGAGAACATTATAATGAATAGTAATTACTTTTATTAATCTTAGGGTGGATGAATGTGGTTGAAGCGAAAAGCTTTACCCACACTTTTTTTTCTCACTTATTGATTATTACCGTTTCTCATATCTGATTGATATAAGCCACGCAAAACTTTTTTCTAGACGTTTGAGATTTTTTCGTGAATAAATTTAAGCTACACAAGACGATAATTAAACTATATATATACATATAATATCTAAGTTACTAACGGTTGTTTTAAGATTGAATCTTACATTACTAAATAAGAAAACTAGTAGAAGTTAATTATCGTTTTCCGCATATTGATATCTTCTAAATACCGTCAGTTTTTGAAAAACGAATTTCACATGTGTACTCGTCATATTCTCATCGCCTCAGCAAGTCTTTGTCCAAAACTGAAATGATACTCATATGGTAAAAACGAATGACTGACTTGAATCGTGACTAATGCATCGAATAGAAGAAGAAGAAAAAATTTGGCAACGGTAACTAGGCGACTAAAAAGCAATTAGTCGTCTACAGGAGTACATGCAGCCAATCGTTCTGTTAGCGAAACTTTTTATAAAGAAGGAGCTATTTTTCTACTTTCATACGTTTTAAAAAATAAATTTGACCATGATGTCTAACATTTGCAAGACTTAAATTTTGAATATATACACATTTAAGGCGCTACTTTTTTTTACTGAATAATTGGAAGATAAGCGTTAACAACGATATGATACCACTGAAGATATTAGAAAGCAAATCGATTTACTCAAAATGATTAGTTGAAAACTATTACATATTTTATGAAAATTCATCGTAAACGTTCTATACTTTGTTCTAAAGGTCAAAACAGATTCCTAAGATCTTACTGAATAAATTTAAAATCCAAAGATTGGAACAACAATATACATTGACGAGAAAGCCATCCAAACTGATACTTACTGCTTGAACGCATATTGGTCTCACAAGGATGTTTTGGTGAAACAAGCAAAAGCCTAAAATGGTTCGTTACCATGGATCTTTGGAGTCGAATAATGATCGTTTTACTAAATTATTCACTCGACCGATCTATGAACAAAAAATCACGTCGAAATTCTTCTTTTTTGATTTTTCAATATACATGAGTTCAAGCGGTGAGTATCAGTTTCGTTGGTTACCTCGTGAATGTAACTCTATAAGTTGACATTTCGTTTTAAAACTTTATTAATCACATAACCATGAACATTGGTACAAGCTATTTCAAAATCCTACTATCTATGAAAGATTCTAAATTATAGGCATTAATTATCCTTGATTTCGGATGCAAATGATCAATGTATTCTGCAGTTGTTCGTAGAATCTATACAAGATTTCGTTGCTGCACTTTTGAAATTTCAAAAAGTAAGTTGATTGATATATGAAATTCATAGTAACAAAACTAAAACCAATTTCTCTTAATTAATACTTTACTTTGATTCAATCTTAATACAACTGAAAAAAACTTATAAAAATAATAATCATAATCATTTTTAATAAAAATAAAAACACATTTCTTTTCAAAAAAAAAAAAAACTTTATTTCAAGAAAGATAAATCAGTCGAAACAATGCTTTCTTTTCTATTTCATAACTTTCCATAAAACTATATTCAATGTTATGCATTATACATCTATATGATGTAAGTCAATTTTCGGGAAAAAAAACCAAGTTTGATTATTCTTTTCAATATTATAGTCTTTGTATATAATACATGCAAATAAAACAAACAAAACAAAAAAAAAGAAAAGAAAAAGAAGACATGAACAATATCTAATGGAAGACGGACATACAAACACTCATACAAGAATCGAAAAATCTGACAGTTGACGAAAAAAGAAAAACGGAAAACAAAAAGAATAATTTTTAATCTACTGCTCATAAACAAACACTTCACAAAGAACAGCAGTAAATAGTTTATTCCATCGATCAGTTACACCATCAGCTTCAATATAAACAAAACGACCACGTAATTGACGTTGACATTGAAAATGAAGACGAGATGATGAAGTTAATGCTTGATCAGTGCGTGTTATAAATGAACATAAATTTGCATTTTTAAAACGATATCGACGTGGTCGATAATGAACATAAACATTATATCGATCTAAATTTGCTAAATAATCTCGATAAATTGATGATGATATTGTTGAATTGTTTGCTAAAATATTTCCAAAAACAAAAAAAACAAAATATATTTTTAAAATTCAATTGAATATTTTCATACCTTTATTATTTCCATGCCATGTTCGTAATAAAACACCAGCTACATTTGTTATTCGACCTAAATCAACCATCCAAACAGGTTTTCGAACAAAATAATTATCAATTGTAGCACATTTTGACCAATCTAATGAATCTTCTAAACCATCAACAGCTAATGCTGGATCACCATTTGTTTCTCTTGCACTACGAAATTTTGATTCACCAATAACACTTTGTTGTTGACGACGATTTCTATCGTTTGTCCATGTTTGTTTTTTATATGCCATATTTTCCACTACAAAAAAAAAGAAGTTGAAGTTCCTCAAATATATTAATTAGAAGAAAAAAAACAAATCTATTTTACCGCATTGAGCTTCACTATTCACACGAAAATAACCTGGAAAACAAGCACCTATAAACACAGAAAAAACAAATAAGTAGATTTTTATTAATTTAATTCAAAAGAAAATTACCTTGATGTGGACATCCTAAGATAGCTGCTCGCATACTAACATGATTATGCCATTCAGTTGGATGTAAACGAACAAATCGAGCAAAAAATGGTTCATTTAAAAAATGTATACGTTCACTATCACGATCATTATTTGCAGAAAATTCCTATAAAAAATAAATTATTACAAAGAGAATAAACAAAATAAAAACGCAAACTTTTGGTTCAATTTGTGATTTATCTTTATAATAAACCCATAGACGTGTATCATTTGAAAATGAAACTTTATATTTTGTAACCCATTGATCTTGAAATGTATCACCTCGACCTTTCGTTATCAATGATGTGACAATCGATGGATGACCCAAATCAAATTCAAGCCATTGATCATGTTCTAAAAATAATAATTTATTAGCGAAAAATATTTTCGTTTGTTTGTTTTTTTTTCTTAAAACTAACTGTATCGTTTTCTTGCACACCATCCTTTATTACTCATTATATAACCATCTTCAGGTTGACATGATGCATGTCGACGATATGGCCATGATGTTGAGGCACTAATTTTTCCATATGGTGGTAAACCTAAATATTGTTTACATTCTAAAATATATAAGAAAATTAACAAAAATAAATTAAATGAAAATTTTTAATATAAATACAACCTTGACAACCAATAATTTCTACACGTAAAGATGGATGTAAATGCCATTGAATTGGATGAAATTTAATAAAACGTGCAACAATTGGTTCATCGAAATAATTATGACGAACTGAATATGAATCACTATTCGCAGAAAATATCTATTTAAAAGAAGAAAAAAAAAGTTTTTTATTTAATTGTTAAGAAGAGATAACATCTTCTAAAAATTTTATTGTACATAGTGTAGTCAACATATACAGCGAGTAACGAAATTATTCAATAAGGTTTATTTTCAATTTTTTTCATTGTCATCAGCGTTAGAAAGAATTCAAATAGTGATTCGAATAGAGGAAATTGTTTGTAACAAAAATATAGAGAAATAAAATTTATTATCAGATTTGCAAAGATAGGAATTCCAGAAAATGAAAACCCTAGGTTTTTAACACCTAGAATAAGTAAATATACTATATAGAACGATAGAATAAACTATCCTCTGCAAAATGAGACATCATTGAGTTCTCTGCGACGTTTATTGGCT